CTAGGTAATAGCTGAGTTTTTGATTGACACTTCAAGGGCTCTACAACATCATCAAAATAACAATTTTAATACTAAAAACTCAATAAAAGAAGAACCTTTACTTGATTCTCTCTGTCAAACAAGTGTCTACTAAAAACACAAATGCAAAAAAATAGCTAATTCCATCAAATACACCTCAATTCAGCTGACAGGAATCCAGTGGAATTAGTCGAGGTGCACGAAAACTAGCCCACACCACAGTTTATCAAAACAAAAAAAAATGAATTGTCTAACGTCTAATCCGCTGCAAACCCATTTCAATTAAGGTCCAAATCATCTATACTCATAACCCGTTTCAATCAAACACCAAATACTCCATCTTTTTCCAAGTAACAAAAGCAAATCAAAGTAAAATACCTGTATTCCTGAAGGAAGCGATCGTCATTGAGATCTGGGTCATCTTCAAGATCATCAAGCTCATCTTGAGTCTTCTCATCGATCCAATCTTTGTCTTTGGACTTTGAACCTTCATCCTCACCAGGTGTAAACGGGTCGGGCTTAAAAACAGGAGCTTTTGGAGGGAGATTTCCAAGCTTCCTCTGTATATCATCCCATTGTGTTGATGCTCCTTCAACATCTTTGTACACAAAATGATAATCCCCCATTTTGATTCGATTGATTCTCTTTCTCTCTACCAGAAATTGAAGCTCTAAGATTTGCTGATTTACAGAGTTTCCGGTAACCTTTCTACAATTCTTGACCCGGAAACCCGGTTCTGGAGATTTCGTTTCGTTTTTTTTTGCCGGAGAAGGACCTGTATAATCTAAGAATTTACCTTGATAGTACTCCTAGTTTCTACTATTACAACATTGAAGTCCTAATTTAAGTTTTCCCAACTTATTCAAAAAAAAATTATTTATACAGAGCGGTGTATAAAACTTAAACTATATGTATAGATAATGCTCAATCACAATAAAATTCTGTACCATTAATCCTTAATCCTATGATCATTCCTATCAACAATATTTATTAATATTAAAGGTAGAATTTCTCAATATAAATTACGGTGGGATGATTACGATTTCTTTATTCTTAATTAAAAGTCGTGAATTCGACATAAAGGAAAACAGAAGAAGAAGTAGGATTTAACTTTTATTATTAATACCATATATTTTTATATTATCAAGATATTTTAATTTATCGTAGCAGGTAATATACTTTCAACTTACTATTTTTGCTTTTTATGAATGTATCAAATTATAATTACTTCTCATTTAAAATTAATTAAAAATGAATAAAGCTAGTTTTTTCTTTTATGAACTTATAGATAGTTTAGATCATTTACTAATAAATCTACTTTAATAATTGCATTGAAGGTAAATGGCATGGCTTGCAAGAACTCTACACTTGTAGAAGCTAATTTTAAAAAATGAATCAATAGCATGAAATTGTAATTTTAACTCTTTCTCTATCAATAGTACTAAAACTTCTTTATTTTGCTTACTTTTTCTAATAATCTATAATTAATTAGTTGTTACTTAGTTGGCCACTGGTGCAGCCAAAGGGGGCTTATCACCTAAACTAATCAAGAAATTATTGTACCAAAAGGGTGCTAATTCATAAATTACTAGCAAAGCTTTTTTAATTTCTAACTAATCTATGTAAATTCAAGAAGCATGATTTCATAGCTACTCTATTTAAAGAAATAGCCTCTGAATTCATCACATCATCTCATAATTTCAAAACCTTTATTTTGTTTTAATCTCCTCCCTCTTAATTAAATTAATTATACTTGCAAACTTGTTTTTCATTGCAATATTATTGTGCAAAAATGGCAAATAATATCATCTTGATGTGCTTGATTTTCACCTTATTTTGTTCTGGTTTGGCAGTTGAAGTTGGCCCTTTGCAAGACTTTTGCGTTTGCAGATAGTACTAGCATGGGTAAGCACTCAAATTTTAATGTATGTAACGGATTTAACTTATAAATACTGATAGTATATTAGTATATATCAACTGGTTATTATGGATTAAAGAATTAGAATTATTATAGACGATAGTTGTTGTTGTAGATGATCATTTTGACTTAATGGTGTAATAAATTGCATTGTGCTCTATGCTACTTTAATTATATACGTACAGAAAGATAGATTCATGCATATGTCTTATTAGTTCACAAAAGTTAAAACTATTTTTAGAACTTATATAAAGATAGTATTTCTAGAGGTGAGATTTCAGAATGAGTAGTCGATATAGACATATAGCTATACCCACACATGTTAAGAAATTTTTTATATTTTCACATAATTCGAGCTAAAAATAACATGTTTACTGAACTTATAAAACTTGTCTTAAATCTACCTCTAATAATTTTCCTTTCGTTTTTAATTATTAGTTATGCCAAGTGGTCTGATGTGCAAGAATCCTATGCAAGTAGAAGCCAATGATTTTTACTATGGTGGTTTAAATATACCAAGCAACAAAACAACTCCAACTGGTATCAATATGACTCTCGTCGATGTAGATCAACTACCAGGACTCAACACTCTTGGAATTTCAATGGCTCGAATCGACTATGCACTCGATGGAGTTAACCCTCCACATATTCACCCTCGAGCCACTGAAATGCTTGTACTCATCGAAGGTTCATTACACATTGGATTTGTTACCTCTAACCCTCAGAATCGATTAATTTCAAGAGTCATACATACCGGAGATGTATTTGTTTTCCCCGCAGGGCTCATTCACTTTCAGAGAAATGTTGGAAATAGAATTGCAGTTGCACTTCTTTCATTGAGTAGCCAAAATCCTGGTTTAATAAACATTAGAGATGCAGTGGAGACCCTTCCAGAGTCGGTGAAGTTTAAATAAATGCATTCTAAATAGATGGAGATATTTTTTTAAAACGAAATTAATCATTGTAATAAATTACGAACTCGATTCATTTTTTCGTGAAATCAAACTCATATTATAAAAGGCTCATTTAAGCGGAACGTTACCAATATCAAAATTGTTATACTTGCCCCCCTTTCTTTTCCAAGCGGACTTTATTTCACTCCTTTCGAAGAAAATAACAATTTTTCATATTCATCACTCAAATTCAAAATTACTATAAAAAAAAATCATTACACTTATCGCTCTATAAATAAATCAGATTGTACAACAACATGGCTCTTTATGTTTACACCATAAGAACAACAAACATACAAGATGACAAATTTTACCATTTGCCATATTCTTATTCAACTAAAATATTAATCCACGTCAGATGTTGCTTTTTTTTTTTTCTTTTCACTTTTCAACTTAAAAATATATATTTTTTTAAAGTCAACCTTGGAATTTTGTTGATTTTTTTGTCACAGTAAAGTCAACCTTAGAGTTATTGTATAAATAACTTCTGACTGAAATGTAGAATAATGTTGCGTACAATAGATTGTTATAGTTCAATTCTTCTTCAAATTTCGCACATTATGAAAGCAGTAATGGAGTCAAAATTTCGACTAAGAAATGCTAAAATATAAAAAATAAAATTACGTAGAAGTCAAGAGCTGTCAATATGTGATATTTATATATAAAAAATATTTTTACCTAGCTAAATAGTATAATTTTTCGACAAAGAAATGTCAACATATATATGACTCTACCACTAAGCGGGAGCTTAGTTCATCGAACTCGTTGACCCATTTTATATATTTTGTACATTTCTCTCACATTTAGTAGTTTCTAGGCCTAAACATCATAATTGTAGCACTTAAAAAGAACAAGTTTAAATTCAGCGGAGATCGAAATATTAAGTGATTTCTTTTTAATATGTGAGATAATAAATATCTTATAAAATTAATCGAGATGTAAAACAAACTAATCCAAAACAATATATATGTATAGAAAAAATCTCCTTTTTTTTCAAGAGGTGAAAAATAGCAAATACTCAATAAAATTAATTAAGGTATGCACGCAAACTGATCTCTAAGATATTATACTTGTGTTTAGAAATTAGACGTGATTCATTCAAAATAATATTCTTCAAATAAAATGTAATTTATTTGTTTTATTACTCTTTTTTATGGAGTGCGGTTCTTTTTGTTTTAAGTGAACGTAAAATATTTTATGTGTAGTACTCCACTATTTTTTTTCTTCTAAAATTGAACAAGGAAATAAAAAAGAAAAAGAACCCTACACGTTGACCACATGCAACTTGTTGACTTCTTCGTAATAAAAACATGATTAAATAAAAGTCAATACACATATTCATTTAACAAAGCTACACATCTTATGATTATGATATGCTTCTATTTAATGCAAAACTTTACTAGAAGTTTTATTTAATTAATTCTATCTTTATAGTTATAACAAATTGTATTTAAATGATGTTCTAATCCACGAGTTTCTTAAGAGTTACTTAAACATTGACAAGATATAACGAACAAACACCTCATTTCCTTATTAATTAAATATTTGTAATTTTTTTATTTTGGTTTCCCACCCGGTGTCCAGAGCTCACATTGGAGCTCCGACTAAATTCGGATCGCGCACTGCAGGGCCCATTCGGGGGTGGCGCACCCAACAGAATTTTCTCCATATCCAGGGCTCGAACCCGAGACCTATGGTTAAGGGTGAAGCACTCCCACCAGTGCACCACAACCCATGTTGATAAATACTAAATATTTGTAATTATGTAGTATATATGTTTTAACACATACAAATTTGAACGAAAACTAACTCTACATCAACTCTTTTTTATATAACAATGGTGTCTTATCAATTGTGAGCACCTCGATTAATTTTATGAGTTATCTATTACTTTTCACCATCTTAATCACCACAAAACTAAAATTAATTTACACATATCTCGATTAAGTTTTCCACCAACTTATTAACTATGATGTATTAAACTAGTTTGCACGCACCTCAATTTTAGAATATATGAAGTATAGGGAGAGGGCCTACAAACAACAACCCGTGGAACCTTTCTCTTCTCTGTAAACAGTAACTGCCAGGGTCCCCTCTAAAACCCCCCAAAACCTTCTATATATATCTTCAAGAATCGCTTATTTTCTGTTGCAATTCTCTCTCAATAACCGCATTCAGTTCAAAGAGAAAGATCTATTCTCCTACTTCATTTTCAAGCTACATTGATCATTTCTTAGTCAGCTGCAGTTCTTCTACTTCGTTTTGGTATCTCTGTTGTGTTTTCTTTCAACCCATTATGGTGTTGCTGTGAAAACAGAGGTGGGGTTATTGAATTTTCTGTTTCTGGGCATTTCTGGTTTCTGGGTGTAGTGTTGATTGATATTCACGAACTTCTACTCTGTTTGTGTGTGTCAGTTGGATTCTTTCTTGGGTTTTTTTGATCGAGATTGAAGTTTTAGTGTTGTTTGTTGGGAATTCAGGGAAATTGAATTTGGGTTTTTCTGCTAGTGTTGAAATATTGTAGTTTTGGGGTACATTTCGACATTTTCGATCAGCTATTAGCTGTACATTTTATAGCTTTTTGAGTTTAAGAAGGAAATGAAAGATGGTTTCTTGGCTGGATAGGACTGTATCAGCTTGTTGCCAACCTTTAGGTCGATATGTCGGTTTGAGCAGCGGTGTTCTGGGAGGTGAAGATTACCCACTGCTATGGTATAGAGACCTTGAGAAACATTCATGTGGGGAGTTCTCTTTTGCTGTGGTACAGGCTAATCAAGTATGTGAAGATTATGGCCATGTTGAACCAGGTCGTGAAGGTACCTTTGTTGGGGTTTATGATGGCCATGGTGGCCTTGATGCTTCAAGATTTGCCTGTGATAACCTTAGCCGGCATTTAATAAGTGAGATCAAATTTCTGTATTTCCTTGCTTTTCTATTTATTTATTGTTAAATTAAAATGGTTGTTGCAGTCTTTTGACAATGGAATTATGGTGTTTCTTCCTTTGCATTGCAAATTTTACTTTGTAGTTCTTTGATTTCTATTACTATTTGTTATTTCTTGTACTTCGATTGTATTATTATCTGGCTGTAGATACTGTTCGTTTTTTGCAGCATATTTTGTCATGCTATTTTTAGGATCTTGTCGTGGCTTCTTCAATTATGGTATTCCTTTACCCGACTGCTTTGTTATGCTTTTTTTTTTAGTCGAGGGTCTATCGGAAACCTTCTAAGGTAGGGGTATGATATGCGTACACACTACTCTCCCCAGACCCTCCTAGTGGGATTACACTGGGTATGTTGTTGTTGTTGTTGTATTTTTTTTTTTTAGTCGAGGGTCTATCGGAAACCTTCTAAGGTAGGGGTATGATATGCGTACACACTACTCTCCCCAGACCCTCCTAGTGGGATTACACTGGGTATGTTGTTGTTGTTGTTGTATTGTAAATTTTATTGCCTCATAACAGCAATTTATGATTTCAAGTTTTGGTAGAAATGATATTCATAGTGATCTTCTTGATTATGTTTATGCTCTATTGCATGTTGTAGCAGTGTTAGTGATTTTTTCTCTTAGTGTGTCTATAAGTAATTGTATAGTAGAAGGTTTCAATTGTCACTAAGGGTTTTGCAGTTTTCTCGCAGCTTAGGCTTTGTTTCTCCTTTATTTGTTGCTGTAGTACTGGTTTATGTTTCTTCTTCAGAGTGACAAACAGCAACATAGAGGAACATGATCATCTTTTTGGTACTCTTGAGTTTTTTCAGGCTAAGCAGCTAAACACACATTTTTTTACAGCGCTTGCTCGAGAAAAGGGAACAATAGATGAAGAAGTCCTTAATAATACCTTCGCTGCAACTGAAGACGGCTTCCTTTCTATTGTGGAAAGGGAATTTCATGTTGATCCAGCAATTGCGTCAACGGGGTGCTGCTGTCTGGTTGGTGTTATCTGGAAAAGGACATTATATGTTGCTAACCTGGGGGACTGTAGAGCAGTATTAGGTCATACAGGAAGATTCAATAGGATTTTTGCTGAGCAATTGACTAATGATCATAATGCCAGGATCAAGGAGGTCAGGGATGAACTGAGAGCTCTGCACCCAGACGATCCAAACATTGTATCTTGTGTCAGAAGAACATGGCGTGTTAAAAGCATTATACAGGTTTGCTTTTAAATACTAATATTGAACACAAATTGTTATGTTATGTATCATGTTGAATTTTATATCTCATGACAGATGCTCATTCTTTTTAATCAAAAGCAATCTAGTTTCCATCATAGTCCTTAATGTTATCAAAAGATTAGTGAGCTTAAACTAAATTTGCGTAGTATTCATAAGGCTCTTAATTCTAGTTTCTTGTCACATTCGATGGCTTTATCCAAGAACAAGACATTTTTAACCTCAAATATGCTTTTGGACACCTCTGAAACTGACCTAAACAAAAATTGATTTGTCAACTTGTTACATTTTGTCACCTTGGGAAGTAATCTGCCATTATATCTGTTAAGTACATCCAAATATACTGAATAGAACTATATCTGGCTCGGCCTTTTAATTTTCCTTTTAATATATGTGTCTCCTTTTATGTTTGTTTCTGCATCTTTTAGGTAACTAGAGCAATTGGAGATGCATTTCTGAAGAAGCCAGAATTTGCTCTTGGTGCAATTCCTCTTAGGCGGCCAGTACTAAGAGCTGATCCATCTGTCTCTTCAAGAAACTTACAACCATGCGATAGATTTTGTTATATTTTGCTTCTGATGGGCTGTGGGATCTCTTAAGCAATGAAGAGGCTGTACAAATTGTGCATACCTACCCTAGACAGGTATCTGTTATTCTGACACTCACATTTATTTTATCAAAATGTCATGTTTGTATGGTTAAACTTATTTTGTTTATCCAATATCAGGGCATAGCTAGAAGACTTGTTCTATCAGCCCTGAATGTGGCTGCACGTGCAAGAAAGTTGAAGTACGGTGACCTCATGAATTATGACAAAGGTGTCAGGAGGGCCTTTCATGATGATATAACAGTCGTGGTCATCTTTATAGATCACGAGATGCTGAATGACTCATTAACTGTGCCTGGAATGTCAGTTCGAGGATTTGTAGACACTCATCGACCATCAGATTTCAATATTGAGCAAGAGGTTGCTACAGAGACCGAACCCACAGAGACTGAACCCACAGGGACTGAAGCCACAGAGACTGAAGCCACAGAGACCGAGCTCACAGAGACCGAACCCACAGAGACTGAACCCACAGAGATTGAACCCACAGGGACTGAACCCACAGAGACTGAAGCCACAGAGACCGAAGCCACAGAGACCGAACCCACAGAGATCGAACCCACAGAGACTGAACCCACAGGGACTGAACCCACAGAGACTGAATCCACAGAGACCGAACCCACAGAGACCGAACCCACAGAGACTGAACTCTCAGAGACAGTATAACAAGTTGTTGGCACTTGTTCTTTTCTAGGGAAGCCTGGATGTGGGAAGTTTCTGTTCTCCCATTTTTGCCTCGTTTTACCAATTTACATTTTGATATACAGTCCAGATGAACAGCAAGACTATTAGGTTACCCATATGCCACCACCATCCAAATGGTCATGGGCAAATTTTTGAATGTACAAAGACATGCTGAGGAAACTGCCTCCTATTGTTGTTTACCACAATATCTGTCAATGTAAGGCCATAAAAGTTGGCATTCTGATCCAAAAAAAAAATACATTCTGTTTCAAGATGCATAAACATGAACCCCACATTCTTGCCTTTTGAAGATTTCTTGCTTGTTCTAAAAATTGTTTCTATCTCTCTCTCTCTCTCTCTTACACACACAAACATGCAGAGCTAGGGGAGTGCAAGGGTGGAGTTTCATCTTATCCCCTTTGTTGGAAAATTACATCAAATTGTTTTTATGTGTATATCGTAAATGTTATAGAATCCATTTGGTTTCTTCATATGTTTTACTATATCCTCTTCTGACGGTGCTAATAATGCGGTTGAGAGGCTACTAAACCATAAATTTTCTTGTGCCCTTGTCTGCAACTATGCAAACATGGAATGAAATTTGGTGAAAATAAATCTTTTTTCTAAATTCTACAAAAGTGTTTTAGAACCAAGAAGGGAATGCCATATTTGTCTAAATTCTACTATTGGTTCAATAATATATTAAATGATTTTTCTTAATGGATATGTCAAAATGTTAAACGACATATCAAAATTAATGTGAATAACCCAATTCAACTGACTCATATAGTATAGATGGTTTGCTCTCACCGAGTCATAAACAACAACATAGTGAGGGTAATCTCACAAGCAGAGTTTGGAGAGGATTGTGAGTACACAACCTTTCTCACCTTGTATGAAAAGAGAGGTGATTTTCGATAGGCCTTCAGCTCAAGTAAAACATATGAAAATCAAGAATGGGAAGGAAATACAGTAGCAAAGAAATCTTGCTCAAAATAATTCGAATAAGAAACGGTAGCCACAACAAATAATATGATAACTAAAGCAAAAGAATCAACAGGTAATAATAACTAAGTTTATACTAATTTGTTACAAAAGTTGATGGGATTCAGGTCTTTTTAGAATCCATTAATTCATTAACAATGAAAATCCTGCCTGGCTTTTTCTCCTATGCCAAATTTACATGTTCCGTAAGCATTTGAACTTAACAAAATTGTTACATAATGAATGTAGACACCTTTGGGTATAGTGTACATAGCAGCAAATATGTAGGGATATTATAGAATATATTTTGATTCTTACCTTATTTAGTTTCCTGCTCATTGTATCTGTATATATGCATCTTACATAATGAAATAAGAAACAAGTTATTCTTTATTTTTTACATGGTATCAGAGTTATGGCAGATCTAGGTTAGGCAAAATATTCATCGGGTAATTTGGTGTATTTGGGAGTTGAGATTTACCCCCTTCAACCTAGGTAGGATTGCCTTCCCCAGATAAACAGAAATCTAGATGCCGGTGGTCGGGAGGCACACACTGGTAACAACTTTTCCAGTGATCGATTGAGGTGGTGTGTGGAGTAGTGTGCATCGCCAAAACTTCGCATATTCAGTGTCGTCATGACATCTCTGCCCAGGATTTGGTAGAATCTGGTTCAAATAATCCCGACTTGTGAGAGCTTTGACAATTCCGAACTCAGTCAGCCAGGTTCTTTATTTTTCGATCATTTTATTTTCCATGATTTGGTGGCTTTGTATCACTGCTGGAAGCTTCTGTGTTGGTATCTGATTATTCGTTCGGGGGTGGATATTGATCTTTGTCATATTTTTTGTCCACTGTCGACTCCTCATTTTACTTGCACACTGAATTTATCACGTGAGAGAATTGGTGTGTTTTCCAAATTTCATATCTAAGTAAAGTGATTATTCTGTGGTTTGCAATAAATCTGTTGATTATTAAGTTGCTGATGGTCCAACTTCATTTATTTTAGAGAAAATTGTATGAAATAGCAAACTATTAATTCAAATTAAATGATATAGCTATAGTTTATTTTATTTGTAATTCGCAACAAACATCTCTTTTTTTTTTGCCATCCCATTTGTATATTGAAATATACAAATAGACCGAAATATACAAATGCAGGACCCATTTGTATACCGAAATATACAAATAGACCAAAATACAGATTTTTTATGTATATGTATACCGAAATATACAAATTAATAGCTATAGCAAACATAAAGTTTGCTATGGAGCGCAATTATACAAACTATAGCTATAGCATAAAAATATGATTTTATATTTGCTATATGTGAAAGTTGCTCTTTATTTTATGATAATGTTATTTTGCCACACAAATTTAGTTGAAAAATGGTTCTTCACAATAGAGGAAAGGCTACAGATAACTGCGATCAGAAAACAGTTAATGTTGTTACTTCTGGTCTCCTCTTCAAATAAGTTGATGATTGATTCCGGTGCCACTGATCATATGACCGGTAATTCTAATGTACTTTCTAGCTTTCAATCACACAAAACACTTTCTCCTATTAAGGTAGTTGATGGTTCAACTTGTAACATTGTTGGATCTGGGACTGTTAAACTAACCTCTTTCATTACTTTGGCATCTGTATTGAGTTTACCGAAATTGACCTTTAATTTGATAGCTGTCAGTAAAGTTACTAAAGACCTCAATTGTTATATCTCATTCTTCCCGGATCATTGTGATCTTACAACAAATCAAGTTATTGGTAAAGGACATATAGATGATGAGCTATACATCCTTGATGAATGCGAACCTCAATTTGTTGCCTATTCCAATGCCATATCTCCATTTGAAGCACATTGTCAATTAGGACATCCTTCTTTACCTATGTTGAAAAAGCTTTTTCCTCATTTTCAGAACATTTCTTCGTTGGAATGTGAGTCATGTTGATTTGCAAAACATCACCGCAGCTCAGTAGGTCCAAGGGTTAATAAGCGGGCTGAGTCGACTTTTGAGTTAGTTCACTCTGATGTTTGGGGACCATGTCCGGTTGTATCCAAAATTGGGAACAAGTATTTTGTCACTTTTGTGGATGATTTCTCTCGAATGACTTGGATTTATTTTATAAAGAGTCATTTTGAAGTGTTCACTCATTTTTGTGCCTTCTATGCTAAAATCAAGACTCAATTCAATGCTTCAGTACGTATTTTGAGAAGTGACAATGCAAAAGAATACATGTCAGAATTGTTTCAGTCACATGAGACAACATGGTATTCTTCATCAGTTTTCATGTTTTGATACACCTTCTCAAAACGGAGTTGCTTAGAGGAATAATAGACATCTACTTGAGTCAACTCGGGCACTTTTGTTCCAAATGAAAGTTCCTAAATAGTTTTGGGCAGATGTGGTTTCTACAGCTTGTTTTCTAATCAATCGCTAGTGTACTTGTTGGTAATGTGCCCTATAGTGTTCTTTTTTCAAACAAGTCACTATTTCCTATTGAACCTAAGGTGTTTGGAAGCACATGTTATGTTCGAGATGTTCAACCATTTGTTACAAAGTTGGATCTCAAAGCAGTAAAGTGTGTTTTTCTGCGCTATTCTCATCTCCAGAAGGTTATCGATGTTATTCTACTGAACTTGAAAGATACTTGGTATCCAGTGATGTGGTGTTTTCAGAGACTACACCATTCTTCTATACACCTCATATTTCTACAAGTCAGGGGTGGAAGATGAATGGTTAGTCTATCAGGTTACCCGTGGTTCGATAGTACCACCAAATGATAGTGTTCATCCATTTTTTGGTCCTTTTTTTGAGCACCAATCATGTAGTGTGCCTTCATTACCTGCTCCATCTGTGGCCAGGCCTCCAATTACTCAAGTTTACTCAAAGAGGCAAGAGAATAATGATACATATCTTGCATCAATTCCTTCGTCATCACATCTTCCTCCACCTAATCCTCAGGAAAATCTTGACCTCCTTATTGCTCTTCACAAAGGTACAAAGAATTGCAAATCCACATATTCTATTGCTAATTTTGTTTTCTCTGATCGCTTATCCTCTACATTTATATCTTTGATTCTTCCCTAGACTCCATCTCTGTACCCAAAACAGTGAAGGAGACTTTGAATCATCCTGGATGGTCTACTGCAATGCTTGAGGAAATACATATCTTAGAGGAAAATCACACATGAAATTTGGTGGATCTACCCAATGGAAAGACACCAGAGGGATGTAAGTGGGTGTTCACAGTTAAAGTGAATCAAGATGGTTCAGTGGAAAAACTTAAGGCTAGACTTGTGGCTAAAGGTTATGCTCAGACTTATGGGGTGGATTTTTTCAGACACCTTTTCTCCGGTTGTTAAACTTACTTCTATTCGCTTGCTCATTTCTCTAGTTGCTTCTGTGAATTGGTCTTCACATCAATTTGATAAAAAAAATGCATTCTTTCATGGTAATCTTCAAGAGGAAGTGTATGGAGCAACCACTCGATTTTGTTGCTCAGAGGAGTGAGGAAAAGTCTGTCATTTGAAAAAGTCCTTGTATGACTTAAAATAGAGTCCCCAAGCTTGGTTTGGCAAGTTCAGTGAGGTAGTTAAGGATTTTGGGCAGAAAATGAGCAAATGTGATCATTCCGTCTTCTATCGGCAATCAACAACTGACACTATCCCCCTTGTTGTATATGTTAATGACATTGTCATCACAGGAAGTGATTATGTTGGGATCTCTTCCCACAAGTCTTTCCTGCACACTAGGTTTCATACAAAGGACTTGGGCCAGTTGAAGTACTTTTTGGGAGTAGAAGTGAATAGAAGCAAGAAGGGAATTTTTTTGTCTGAGAGAAAGTATATTCTTGACCTTCTTGCACAGCCAAACCTTGTAGTTCTCCAATGATTCCTAATGTGCATCTTATGAAAGATGATGATGATCCTTTTGATGATCCAGAGGGATACAGAAGGTTAGTTGGAAAGTTAAACTACCTTGTTGTGACTCGTCCTGATATTGATTTTGCAGTAAGTGTTGTTAGTCAGTTCATGTTTGCACCTATGATCAAACACTGGGCAGCTTTGGAACAGATTCTATGTTATTTGAAAGGAGCTCCTGGACTTGGCATATTATATAGCAATCACAATCATGCTCGTATTGAGTGTTTTGCAGATGCCGATTGGGCTGGACCCATAACTGATAGAAGATCTATTACAAGCTATTGTGTCTTTGTTGGAGGGAACTTGGTGTCATGGAGGAGTAAGAAGCAAAGTGTTGTATCTCAATCCAGTGCAGAATCTGAATACAGAGCTTGTGAAATTGTGTGG